TAGTATCCCCTTAACTGTACAGAGCACCATTTTCTTCATTTTGCAGTTTAAGCATCAAATCTCAACCCGCAACTAACTATTAAATACACCTACTACATTAATAAAGGAGAGTTACAAGTGCAGCTTAGATCAAAAAGAGGAATTACATTGCTTAGTATCCCCTCAACTGTACAGAAAATTACATTTAATGCATGTTTGTTGAATAGTTAACATATCTGCACCATTTTCTTCATTTTGCAGTTTAAGCATCAAATCTCAATCCCCAACCAACTATTAAACACACCTACTACATTAATTGAGGAGAGTTACAATACAAATAGCATTTATAACAATTTCTGTCACTAACAGATGTAACCAACAAGACCCCTAAGTTTTTTCTCCTTTCTTATTTTTTATTTTTAATTTTTAATTTTTTTATTTTATGTTCCAACATTAACTCATCGTTAACAATATAATTAACCCACGTCAGGTGTCCCATATGAAGGAAGAAACTAATACGTACATTAAACAATTGTTGGTGTGGTTGTTAGTATTTTGCAGGAAAAGAACAAGAAGAGATGGAGATGAAGGCTGGCTCACTGCTAGGAGCTCAGTTTCCTGGTATTTTCCTCACTTGTATTTCATTTCACAATTGATTACATATATAGATTACAAAATCAGGCAATCTAGCCAACCGTAGAACATTGAGTGGTGTTTGTTCCGTTGAATAGTTTGCTAATGTAACATCCCATATAAAAAAAAAAGTACGGAACTTAAAAGAGTTTATAAAAAGGTTTATTTTTTTATTATTTTTAGATTTATTAATTTATTTTATTAAATTTAAATTTGAAAATACATATATGAAAATCAGATATAGCATTTGGAAGCTAAAAAATACCTCTATGAAATTGTGTCTTTCTGTAAGGATATATCCTTATAAATAATAACTTTTCAAGTAGTATAAATTTTTATGCAAAGTTAAAGTTTTACATTTAATTCTAAAAAAAATTTGAGTTTTATTGTATCTTGAATGATTTTAAATCCTCAAAGATTTTAAATTCTTAACAAAAGTGACATCACATCTATAACCATTCCTTTTCATTTTTCTGAAATTTCTTATTTTCTAACATGTTCTAACAACTCCACCTAATCTATCAAACACCTTACACATACCAAATATCTAGAGACTTGGTTCCTTGACTAAAGGAACTAAACTAACAAAAAAAAGGACAACCAAGCACTAACATAGAGTTACACTTGCAAATGCCATTTTACAGTGAGCACTAACAACAATGAAGAGACAGATAATTGCAAATTGCTTAATTAGCCCTTGCTTGGCCTGAAAGAAGCATATGCAAGGATTTCGGGGTCTTGTTCAAGTTTTGTCATTTCTTCCTCTGTTAAACCTATCCATGCTTCGATTCCCTGATCGTCACTAGCATCCAACAGAGTGACAAGCTTGTTCATCCGCAGGGCAGTCCCCACCCAAACGGGCTTTCCCCATCCAAAGTCTGTTTCATAAAATGGAAATCGACACCAACTACTGAAAGCAAAGGACACCATTGCTTCCGAACCATTCTTCTGTTCATCGGTATTGCTTTTTCTGATCATCATGTTTAAGTATTCCCCACGCTTCCTCACATACTCTTCTTTCATCCTTTTTATTGACTCGTGAATTTTTCCAGCTAGACTGCTGTGTTTTACGTTCTTCTCCATCATCGAAGTTGCCATGGTAGCTTGGTTGATGTTTCCAATGCACAATTCAGGTAACACCGGATTCATTATCTTCCTTAGGTTCACTGGAAATACTGCCACATGCATTGGAATATTTCCAGTCTTCTCCATAGCCATCGAAGCGCCCCATATGAGGGCGGAGACAGCCTCCACGCGTGTGGGATGGTAAACACCTTCTTTCTGCTCCATGCTGATTTTGTTTCTTAAAGCGGCTATCTTCGAACCATCAAACAAAAACCTTTTCATTACACAATTGGCTTGCCCCATTTGGACTTTATTTTCCATGAACTGTTGTAACTCTGTTGAATCTTGCGGAGGGAAGAGAGAGGTGCAATCGTAAATCACATCATTAACGTTAATATCATTTACTCCAGAAGCAGTTTTTGCCCAACTTTTAACAAAGCTCGCTGCAGCTGACGCATCCGCAATTACATGACTAATGCATACACCAATGGCCATGCCACCACAAGCAAAGTAATTAACCTGAATTGCTAGGATTACCCGACTACTGGGATCAGCAAACTTTTCGAGTGGATCACAAGGAAGTAGCCTTTGCAGCACATCAATCTCTGGTTCATTAAGAACCACATCAGACATGTCAGCTTCTATTTGAGCTTCAACGTAGGAGGCACCACGATCGTTGCAGTCAATTGTGAAAGCATCATCCTTTCTGATCTGTCCGGCTAATGGATAGAAGTGGGCTAATGTTTTTGAGAGTGATTTCTTGAGGTGATCCGACCATCTTTTCCTATGATTTTTGAGATCATCAGTAGGTGAGTAAAAAAGAAGGATTGGTACGTAAACTGGAGGAGCTAACTGATCAAAAAGAGAGAGATTGAAAGTTTTTAGGTGGGGTGAGGTCGAAGGGGAAGGTTTGATGATTTCGGTGGAGATGATTTGGACTTTGATCATATCCATTTTCGCTCTTAATGGCTAAGTCTAAATTGTATTGATTTAGTTTCATTGATATGAGCACTATATATAGAAACCAATTTGTCATGTGGAGTTAGGGCCCCCTATACTTTTGAAAAGAATCAAATTCCGTACTGGGATCTTAGTCAAAAGATGATTCAAACATATTAAAGAGGGAGAGAGAGAGAGAGAGATAGAGAGAGGGAGCCAAGATTTTGGGATCCAAACTTTAAGGATGTGATTTTTGTCATTAGCTTCGTAAATTGTAATTGCAGTCATGACAATCCATTGATTATCTAATGGATTGCTCTAGCTTCTACTTGCGAGTTGAAAAATATCCTTGATTGCTTTAAAGGGAGCCGTGGTTTTCCTCGTTTAGGCTTCTTGGTTGCTTTGAGTGATGCAAGCATAATATCCAATATTTTCCTTTTCTAGTTTTCAAAATTTGAAACTGTTCTAGGCATTGGACGGCCACCCGGATATATGGATGCTGCTAACTTTGTTCTTCACCCTTTCACGAAGCAAGAACATCAAGAGGTATGCAATAGTTTAGCCTGGAGGCAATGAACTTTAATACGGTAATGCATTTTAATTATTTACTAAATACGTTCGCAGTTGGATTTTACATTTCAACAAGGTGTAGAAGCAGTTAGAATTGTTCTACTAGAGGGGTTAGATAAAAGTGCGACAACGTCAACAGTGCCAGGACGAGGGAACAACTTGGATAATTTATTTTATTATCTGGAAATTTAATTGGAAAAGGACTCTGTTGGGGAGGGAATTAAAGGAGGAGAAGGAGTTATTGGGGTTGTAGAGGGCGTGAGAATATAGGCTGGACAAGAGGATAAAAGGATCTGGAAATTTGATGGAACTGGAGTGTACACATCCAAAAAAGCCTATATAGCCTTTTGACTTCAGATCAATGGATCTTGGATGCTGTTTTATGCAAAGCAATTTGGAATAATTTTTTTGTTGGAAAGGTGAGTTTTTTGGCTTGGAGATTGTTTCTAGACACGTTGCTAACAAACACTACTAGAATTCATAATTTCACCAACAAGAAATCATGTCGGAAAGAAAGATAATCAGGTTGGTAAAATAGGGTTCCAACTTGGATCATGTCGGAAATGACTTTGTCGGTGAAAGTGGGCTTGGTAATTCATTTAACGATGTGGATTAAAGTCACGTCGGTAAACTGACTCCTAATTACCGACAAGAAACATCTCTCAAACATTAGACTGGAACAATAACATTGGAGATCTTTTCTGGTAATCCACGTCGATAATTTACAGATGAAGATCATGTCTGCAACTACAGGAGGTGCCTCAAAGTCTAAGCTATGTCAATGATTCATCGAGGAGAATGCTGTTTGAGATTTAAAAATCACTGACAAGATTTGAGTTGGCAATTTTAGGCACCATTTTTCTTTTCTGCTACTTAGCGACGAGGATAACATTGGTGCAAGATGCTTGCCGAATGAATCTGGACAAACAATAGTTTAATTTACCGATGAAGACAATATTGGTAAATAAATATGCAAAAAAAAAGAAAAAAGTTTCTTGAATTAATATTGAAATTAATATATATTTTTTTAATTCAATTAATTTACAGTTAAATATTAAGTAATTCATAGTATTTAATATCATGAAAAATAAATATAATATGAAAATTTTACAATATAAACAGAAAATAGTTGTATTTATTTATTTAAATTAATGATTAAAACATAATTTAAAAAATAAGAATAATATGACAAACTTAAAATATAACTAGATAACCCAAAAAAATAAAGATTACCTCAATAGGTGAATATTTACAAAACACCATTTCCTAAAAAAATAAAGAAACATAAATTAGGTTAGTATTTATTTATAATTTCAACCCAAATGGCTCTAATCAACATATAAATGAAATTGAATGTTAATTTACATAAATAAAATTTACTTACCCAATGATTATCTCCTAATGTTTCTTGGAAAACAAAA